AGGGTCTAGCTATGTAGTTCAGGCTGGCCTTGAATTCACTGTGTAGCCCAGGCTAGCCTCAAACTCATGGCGATCCTCTTGCCTTAGCAAATGTCTTTTTGAGATTCTGCTCTCAGTTCTTTTGGGTGTACCCAGAAATGGGACTGTTTACTGTATCATATGGTTACTCTATTTTTTAATTCTTTTTTTTTTGGTACTGGGAATTGAACTGAACACCTTGTGCTTGCAAGGCAGGCACAGTGCCACTGAGCTAAATCCCTGGGCCTATTTTCTAATTTTTTTGAGGGGCATCCATCCTGTTTTCCATAGCAGTTCCACTATTTTACAGTCCCACTAACAGTGCACAAGAGTTGTGGTTCCTTCGCTGGTTCATTCCTCTTTTCATTTGTATCTGTTTATGGTGTGCCACTTGATACTCTGAGAGTGCGTGTGAGAATATCACCACACAGTCACTTCTGTGTGTGTGATGAAAACACTTCCCATCTGCCCTCTCAGCAAATGCCAGGTGTAAGATACGGTATTGTTCCCTGTAGCCACCAAGCTGTACATTTGACGTCTAAAATATAATTCTTTTTGGAAGGGTCCTGTAGATTGAACATAGGGCCTAACGAATGCTAGGCAAACACTTTATCACTGATACATTACCAGCCCTTTTTATTTTATTGTGAGTCAGGGTCTTGCTAAGTTGCCCAGGCTGACCTTAAACTTGAGATAGATTCTCTTGCTTCATGCTTCCAGGTAGCTGGGATTGTAGGTATGCCCCACCAGGTCATTAGGATTTCCTTTCATAAGGCTAATTATTTTATTATATGTATACACCATGTTTTCTTTTTCCATTTGGCTGTTGATGAACATTTGGTTGTTTCCATTTCTTGGCTATTGTGAATAATGCCACAGGAACGAACATGGGTGTGTAGGCATCTTTCCAAGATCCTGATTTCAATTCCTTTGGATATATACCCAAAAGTGGGATTTCAGGATTATATGATAATTCTGTTTTTAATTTCTGAGGAAATTCTGTGCTGTTTGACCTAATGGTTGTAATCAATTTGCAACTCACCAAAAGTGTATAAGATTTCCATTTTCTCCGCTTGTAATCCCAGCTACTCAGGAGGCCGAGGCAGGACAATTTCAAGTTCAAACCAAACTTAATAAGACCCTGTTTAAAACAAAAAAACTTTGGGGCCGGAGATTTAGCTGAGTGGTTTTGCCGCCTGCTGCACAAACTCAAGGACCCAAGTTCGATCCCCGGTACCAAAAACAAAACAAAACAAAAAAACTTCATGAAACACTTGTTCTGTCTATAGTCTGTTAGTCAGTTTGGTGACAAATGTGCCTAAGATCCTTAATTATGTTTGGATTGTGAAGAATTTGCTTCTTTTGATGCTTTTTTTTCCTTTAGGTATTTAATTGTCGCCTAGTGGATCTCAATCTGGCTTTGGGTTATTGTATTCTCTTACCTCAAAAAGACGTGTTTGAAAACCTCTGGAATCTTGTAGATAAAGCGTGGCAGAATTACGACAAAATTCTGGTATGTCATAAGCACACCTTCCATTCTTGACATATTGAAGGTTTGGGGGAAAAAATTGACTTTACTAGCAAGTCTGAAATATTTAGAAGAAATGTAACTCATATGATTCCTACCAGCTTTAGCTTGACTGGTGACACATCGGTGAGCAATATACAAGTCACAAGCATTGCTTCATGCAAAGAATTTAGATACCTTTTATTTCTCAAAATCTGTATGTAGCCTGAGAACCTCATGCCTTATACTTTGGTGGGTTTAAAACCCTAGGCCCTTGAAGCTGTTTTTGTTGTTGTTTGTTTGTTTATATGGGATGAGTTTCAGGGATAGAAAACTTTTTTTGGAAGTTGTTTTAAAATTGACCTTGTGTGTGGGTTTTGCTTATAGGGTAAAAATTTGACCTTATAAAGGAAAGCCGGACTAAATTTATGACATCATACAACAAGCTGAACTACTTATATACTGTGTAAGAATCAATGCCTGGGTACAAAGCAATGTGCAACATTTTACATTCTTATCACAGAAATAGTTATGCTGGGGAGAAGGTAGTGGGGTTTGAACCCAGGGCCTCACACATGCTAAGCATATGCTATACCCATCCTCAGCTCAACATTATGATATTTGTTGTTGAGTTTCAACAGAGTAGAAAAATTCACTCTGTTTGCCATGGACTTTTAATCCTATTTTAATTTTGTAGGCAATATCTCTTGTGGGTTCTCAGCTGGCCAGTCTCTATCAGGAAATCGAAATAGGGCTTCAGTTCCATGAACTGAGTACTGATGCCCAGTGGGGTGTTCGTCTCGGTAAACTTGGTGTAAGTATTTGTATTGCTGTGATGTTTCATCCATCCTGATAATTACCCATTTGCAAAATTCAAAACAAAAATCTCATTGCCCTTTACTTTTGTGAGAAAATGTGTATGTATCGACTCATTAATTTTAGTTACATTAACCACTTATAGTCTAACTTACTATGCAGCCCAGACTGGCCTCACACTTGCAGCAATCCTTTTGCCTCAGGCTCTCCAGTACTTGGGATTACAAGTATGCACCACCACACCCGGCTTTTGTTTTTTGAGATAGGGACTCATTGTGATTCCCAAGCTGGTCTGAAACTCCTCATACCCCTGCCTCCCAAGTAGCTGGGACTACAATCATGTGCTATCATACCTGGCTTGGTTAAAGGGGGGCGGGTAGTTTTTTTTCCCCTTCTTTGCAGTACTGGGGATTGCAACCAAAGCTGTGGCACTGAACTACATCCCCAGCCCTTTTTTTAGTTTTTATTTTAAGAGTAGGTCTTGCTAAGTTGACCAAACTGGGCTCTAACTAGGCATCTTCCTGCCTCAGCCTCCCAGAGTGCTGGGATTACTGGCTCAGTGGCACTGTGACTGCCTTGCAAGGGCAAGGTCCTGAGTTCTAGCCTTGGTACAAAGCAAAGAGGAAAAAAAAGAGTATATATAGGCATAACATGCTTTAAGAGCGTCTAGTAGGGAAAAGTGTGGCTCTTCTTTTTGACTTTGTGAAAGAAAAGATAAAATTTTATTTTAATTTTTTAATCAAAAATTTAAAACATTTTATTTGCAAGCAGTATATTTAGCAGAAAAGTAATTACTGCAGAAATGCAACTGTATGTGTTTTGAAACCTAATTCCTACACAGAAGTGGAGCTGGCTTTCCACTGACCTTAGAAACTGCATTGTACTGATTCAGAGGCATGAAAGGTAAAGGCAGCTAAGGAGTTTTACAGCCAGAGATGTGAAATCCAGATCAGTAGCTGGTTGGGTTGGTCGATGATAAAAATAAAAGTTGGAGGAGCTATAGGGATATGTTTCTTTATTTTTTAAAAAAAGCAGAGTAAAAATACAAGTCATAATATTACCCAACTGTGAAACATTTCAGTTCAGAGAGGTTTTTCCCATTTTGCTCTTTTTATTTCTAGATTTCTTTTCAACCAGCTTTTAGGCAACATTTTCTCACCAAGAAAAACCTCATTAAAGCTCTTGTGGAGAATGTAGATATGGACACAAGCCTCATTCTGGAGTATTGCAGGTAACTCTTTAAACTTCAGTGGTGTTGTTGCTGTTAGCTTAACCAGCTGATAACCCTTACCGTAAGAACACGGAATCAAGGGCCGGGATTTAGCTCAGTGGTTTCGCAGCCTGCTGCGCAAGTGCAAGGACCTGAGTTTGATCCCCGGTACCAAAGAAAAAGAAAGAAAAAAAGAACAGAATCAAGATGATCATCACATGCGGCCCACACACTTGCCCTCTGATGTTTTGCCATCCCTGACTGAGTAAATTCAGTGCAAGATTAAATGCTCTCCTGATATCACCTTTTAAATTCATTATTTCATATTTCCCAGACTTGCCTCATGATAAGAGGGCACTTCACTAAGAACACAGATTTCTGGCATATTCCTGGGAGTTCAGACTCGGCAGTCTGGACCAAGGCCCATGAATCTCAGACCTTTCATAGGATCTCCGGATGATTCCTTTGATCAGGAGTTTGAGGACATCCTTCTGGTTGCCATAGTGCCCCATTATCCACGGAGAAGCCATTCCAAGACTCCTACTAGAGGCCCCAAACTGGATAGTAACAAACTATATAACTACTATGGGTTTTTAAAAATTTTGTTTTGTTTTTGCAGTACTGGGAATTGAACCCAGGGTCTTTACACTGAGCTACATCCCCAGCCCTTTTTAATTTAATTTAATTTTTTATTTTATTTTATTTTTTTAGTATCAGGGATCGAACTCAGGACCTTGCACTTGTAAGGTAGGCGGCAGAACCACTGACCTAAATCCCCGGCCCTTTATATTTATTATTATACAGGTGTACTAATATACACATTATAAAATGTATCAAAAACATTTTGCGTATCTTTTTTTCCATGTCATTCAGTTAGCAGTGTCTTCCAATGTCATTACATATGGATCTTCCTATACCTGTTGCATTCAGAATATTGCTTCAGATGGATGCATATTTTAACCAGCCTCTGAATGATGATTGTTGACTTGCTTCCAGATGTTTTTTTTTTTTTTTTTTGGTACCAGAGATCAAACTTGGGTCCTTGAGCTTGTGCAGCAGGCAGTGAAACCACTGAGCTAAATCCCCAGCCCTCCAGATCTTAATCATCACAAACATTTGCTGCAGTGAACATCCTTCTTTGAGTATCTTTGACTATGTGTGTGAAATTTGTAAAAGTGGAATTACTATATTAAAGGACATAGAGATTTTCAGTTTCATTCCATATTTCCCTCTAACACTTTTCCAGTTTACATACCCAGCAAGAATAATATCCAACTATTTTAAGGTGATAGTTAGCTCTGATGATATATTGTTTAATTGTGTACAGAGCTGGACAATAGGAAGGTTAACGTTCAGGCCAGAAGCACATACCTGAGTTGCTTGTCCAAACCTTTACATGGAAATGGATGTGTTTCTGGAGACTGGTATGTGACTGGCTGCTTCTTTTAGTACATTTCAGTTGGACTGTGATGCAGCGCTTCAGCTATTCATTGAAACACTACTCCACAATACTAATGTCAGCCAGAACCCCAGAGATGCAAACCTGGCACCTGCAAAGCAACAGCATTCCAAACTCTTGGCCAAAGCCATTGAAATGGTTCCCTTACTGACGAGCTCAAAAGATTTGGTCATCAGTCTTAGTGGGATACTACACAAGGTAGGTGAATGGAGACATCACAGAGATCATTCTCACCTCAATTAATTACACACATGCAGTAACAGACCGGCTGTTCCAGTCCTGTATTCTTACAAATTTTTAAAAATACAGAAATCTTAGAATCTTATGTTTTTAATACAATTTAATACAGCAGTTTTCTTACCTTGCCTCTTTAAAAAGTGGGAATCACATTTCCTCCCCAGATTTTTAATAGCATGTACTCTTTGAAAAAGGATCAAGCTAGAGAGAGAAGTACAAATCAAAACAAATTTTCCTATAGTCTACCCTTTTTATTTTTTAAAATTTCTGTTATTACATGTTTGCAGTACATAATGATTATGTTCATTGTGAGGACTTGGTACATGTTCGTAACACATCTTAATTCATTTTCTTCACCTTCCCTTCCTACTTCCCCCCCTTAACCTACTCTCTAGAATACATGTTTTACCTTCCTGAGGATAAAATGTTAATAGTTTGGTTTAGTGACTGTTCTACACTGTACTGTCCTTTGGTATGGTGACTATCCTATTTATATATTATTCTGCCATATGGATAAACCATACTGCATTTAACCAGTCTGTAATGGATGGACATTTAACTGTAAATTTTATTAAAATTTATATTGTATTATACATATATCTTCCTGCTCTTTTTTTTTTTTTTTTTTCCAATGCCAAGGATTGAACCCAGGGTCTTCACACTGAGCTACATCCTCAGCGCACCCTTGCCCACTTCTTTGTTGTTGTTGTTTTTTTGTTTTTGTTTTTCTGAAACAGTCTTGCAAAGTCTCTGAATTGCCCAGACTGGGCTGGAACTTGTAATCCTCCTGCCTCAGCCTCCCAGAGTGCTGGGCTTACAGGAGTGTACCACCTTGCTCTGATCCAGTTGGAATTTTTAAATCAAAGGATAATTTGATGGGAGAATGAAAGTGGATGACAGGGCAAATAAGATTATGACTGTAAAAAAATTTTCAATTTTGTGTCTTGCCTATAAGTCAGCTGAAAATTATATAAATATGCTAAAATTTTCTGGGTACAATAGATCATCTTCCCACTTTGTTCAGTTTTATTATTCATGTAACTTTATTTGGTGTTTCAAGAAATAGAAAAAGTAATGGTGAGTAGGCAGAAATAAAGAACAAAAGAGTGCTCCCTTTCTCTAAGTAGATGTAGATAGCACCCAATTAATTCTTGTAGCAATTAATTCTTGTAGTTAGAGCTAAAGCAATTCTTTGAGAAAGTTCTGCATGATGACCCACATTGTAGTTAAGTTGTTTCCAAGAAAAGGTCAGTTTCTTTCTAATTTTCTGATCATAAATAAAAAAGATGGAGCTTTAAAAATCTTACAAAATTATGAAATTTTGACCATATGTTTATTCTTTTTATGTAGTTAGTACCATAAAAGCATCTTTATTAAAACATTATTGCCATGTTAACACTTTAAGCATGTATATTTATTTATTTTATTTTATTAATTCATTTATTTTTTGGTACCGGGGATCGAACTTGGGTCCTTGCGCTTGTGAGGCAGGTGGCGGAACCACTCAGCTAAATCCCCAGCCCTAAGCATGTATATTTATTACAGTGTAATTTTAGAAATGAGAAAATTTGTTTATTTTTTAAAATAATATAATCTAAATTGTAATGCACTGAGATTTTACATTTGTAATCTGTACCAATGAACATTACTGAATAAAACTGTCAGTGGGGCAATATCTTTTTAGGTTTTGATATATTTTGGGTTTTTTTTTTTACAGTTGGATCCCTATGACTATGAAATGATTGAAGTTGTCCTGAAAGTTATACAAAGAGCTGATGAAAAGATAACCAATATCAATATTAATCAGGTATGACAAATATGTTAGAGATTTTAAAATGATCTTTATGCTTTTACTTATGTCATAAGTAATACAGTTGTCCTGTAATATTACAGGATTATCCTTTCAGCTCCCCTTAAGCTCTGCATCTAAAATAAAATAAACTGCATCTAGAGATATTTTTTTCTTTGAAAGAATCTAATAGTGAAAAGATTTTTGTGCTGTCCATATTTTATCATTTATCTTTGTCCTACTTCTGCTGAACTGAGGTGATTTAAATCTGCTATCCAAGAGTAAGAAGTCACTGAAGAACTAATTGGAGAATTAAGGCAACATTATTTGCCATTTAGCCAAAAAGGACATGAACTCAGAGATTTAGCTTTCTGTACTGATGGATAGGTCTACAACACCCATTCTATATAGTACTTTCATTTAATTTACTGTTTTGTTTGTTTATTTTTAAGACAGGATCTCACTATGTAATTCTTGTCTTAAACTCTGAGCAATCCTCCTGTGTCAGCACACACACAACCTCCCCCTCCGTACTGGGATTATTGGCATATGCCATCACACCTGGCGTCATTAACTTTCTTTGGTGGTAGTGGTGATATTGGGGTTTGAACCTTTGTTTCATGCATGTTAGACAAGCACTCTACCACTGAGTTATATCCTTAACCCCTTTCATTAACTTCTTAATCATTTTTGAGTTTTGGTCCTAAAAATAAAAGAAAACAAGTTAATTCAAAAGGTTATACCAAAAAAATGGTTATACAGAGCTGGGGATTTAGCTCAGTGGTTGCACTGACTGCCTTGCAAGTGCAAGGTCCCGAGTTCGATCCCCGGTACCAAAAAAAAAAGGTTATACAAACCACCAAATAGAAAATATAAACATAAAATTGATAAGAAATAGAGAATTAATTTTAGATTTATAGCCTCTATATTTAAAATGAAATCAAGCTCAGCCTGGGGCACAATTCTGTAGTCAAAACTAATGAGGAGGCTGAGACAGAAGAATCAATTGAGCTGAAGGATTCCGAGGTCAGCCTGAGCAACAAGAGACTTTGTCTCAGAAGTAAGTAATTAAACAAGCATGATAGCATACACCTGTAATCCCAGCACCTGTAATCTGGGAGGCTAAGGTAGGAAGATCAAAAGTTGGAGCCCAACCTGGGTGACTTAGCAACTTGGTGAAACCTTGTCTAAAAATGAAATAGGAGTGGGGATGTATCTTAGTGCAGAGCCCCTGGGTTCAATCTCCAGTACACCAAAAAATTGATTAATTAAAAATAAAGAAAAATAAATGAAATCAAATACTTTTGTAGTATATCTCAAAGTATTTGAAGAATTTGCCAAGAACTGCCAGGCTTGTGTACAAAATATCTTAACATTAACAAGGAACCATTGGTTTCTCCCAGTATGATTTCCTCAATGATCATACACATTATGGTTTAGAAGAATAACACTCCAAGGAAAATTAGAAAAGGTTTTGATAAACTACGTGAAAATGAGACAGTCTGAGGAATGGAATCCCATGAAAGTATAAAGCAGATGATTTTGAGACAGTATGGACGGAGTTACTCTTACCGAAAATACTTTATTTTATTGCAGGCATTGAGTCTTCTGAAACACCTGGAGTCATACAAAAGAATTTCCCCCCCAGTGGACCTGGAATATCAGTATATGTTGGAGCACGTCATCACCCTGCCACCCGCGGCCCAGACGAGACTGCCTTTTCACTTAATACTGTTTGGCACAGCACAGAGCTTCTGGAAAATTCTCTGTACATTTACTAACTTCTTAAGAATTTTACTGGAGAGCCAATAATTTTTTCCCTAATCAAATTACACTCTTCTTGTTTCCTTTCCAGCTTCAGAGCTCAGTGAGGAGTCCCTCCCAACATTGCTCTTAATCTCCAAATTAATGAAGGTAGCAGATTCAAACTCTACAAGGCTTCTTCGTGCTGTAATCAATCCTGACCCTGGGTAGGAGGACCTTATGCTGCTTTCTTTTTCTCTGAAGTTCTCTCTAGATACTCTCTACGTTTCCACAGCCAAACATGTTTTTGAAAAAAAACTGAAGCCTAAGCTCCTGAAGTTAATGCAAGCCAAGTCCTCGGCGCTGATGAACAAGGAGATAGCCAAGATCACGAGGACCATGGAGTCCTACCTGCTGTCCATCGTTAACCCAGAGTGGGCGGTGGCTATCGCCATCACTCTCACCCAGGAAATCCCTGAAGGTTTGCATTCCTTTCCCTGAGCCTCAGATGGTTCACTGTCTTTTTTGTTTTCTTTTGTTTTTATATTTATTCTTCTTTGTGGTACTAGAGATCAACTTAGGGACTCACACATCTTAGGCTAGTGCTTCACCACTGACCTGCATCCCAGCTCTGGCTGTGTTGCTTTTGTTTGTCCTTCTTTTCTATATTTGAAGAGAAGCAGTGTTACAGTCTTATAATCTGTGTATCCACCCTCTTCACTTGTGGCCTTGCTGGATTTTCCAGAACTCAAGGGGCTCAGGCAGGAGCAGGGACATAGGCACAGTCCAGCCTGTGAGTAGGAATACAAATTGATGTGGACTTCTAATATCTAATCATACTTAGAATGATGAGTCCTTAGATATCATCACATAATCAAGTACACAGATACAGGCACTTACTCCTACAGTTTTCATTGAATGGAATGCTGGAAAGATACCCAGGGCATAAAGTGAGAATAGCAGTGGATGATGTTACCCCCCCACACACACACACACAAAAGAAACTTCTGGGGGCTGGGGATTTAGCTCAGTGGTTCCACCACCTGCCTTGTGCACAAGGTCCTGAGTTCAATCCCCAGTACCCCCTCAAAAAAAGAAACTTCCAGAAGGAATATGAGAGTCAAGGAATAGGAATGGGAGCTGAGGAGGGGCCTCAGTGGACTTTGACTTTCTTCTTTATAACTTTGTCCTGTTGAACTGGGGTTTTTTTGTTGGTTTTTTTTTGGTACTGGGGATCAAACTTGGGTCCTTGCGCTTGTGAGGCAGGCAGTGAAATCACTGAGCTAAATCCCTGGCCCTGAACTGGTTTTTTACTGAATATTCATTTTTATAATTTAAAAATATTTCCTAATTTGACTAACCTACATTGTCTTGGAAAGACTCGGATTTGCTCATAAATCTTCTCTATCTTTTCAGGTTCCTTCAAGATGTCTAGTTTGAAGTTCTGCCTGTATTTGGCCAAGAGGTGGCTACAGAACATCCCACCTCAGGTCTCCTCTTTCTCTTTAGTGTGAATGCTCTTGCTCATCGCACATCCTCGTCCTGCCCTGGTGCCAGGGATGGGGAGGGAGGACTGGCTCAGAGTAATAGACACTTAGGGTACAGCTAGGAGGGGAGGCCCCTGATTGGTAAAGACAGGTCCTTAGCCTCTGCTGAGATTTGTCAAATAAGGCTTTCTTTGTACTTGGAATTGTTAAAAGGATGAGACACATGAAAAAGCCCAGGCTTTGTTGAAGAAGCTTCATCTCCAATTCCGGCACTCGGGCACAGAAGCTGTGCTCATAGCCCACAAGCTGAACACCACAGAGTACTTAAGAGTGATCGGAAAGCCGGCCCACCTCATCGTCAGCCTCTATGAACACCCCAGCATCAACCAAAGAATGCAGAATTCATCTGCCAAAGATTACCCTGGTAAGGACAAGGCTATTTTTGATCCAAAAAGAACTATTGTTTTGATTTCCCAGTTAGCTAATATTGAAAATTTGAGTTTTTCTTTTCTTTTTTTTTTTTGAGGAGAGAAGGAAGTTGAGATAGGATCTCACTATGTGGCCCAGGCTGGCCTTGATCCTCCTGCCTCAGCCTTCCAAGTGTTGGGATTACAGGTGTGAACCATCACACCTGACTCAAATTTTTATTTTCTTAAATTCTGTATCTTTAATATCTTAGATATTCATGCAGCAGCTAGAGAAATAGCTGAAGTCAATGAAATTAATTTGGAAAAAATCTGGGACATGTTGTTGGAAAAATGGCTGTGCCCGGAGACATCACCTGGTGAGGTAGGTGCCTGCCGGCCCTGGCATGTGGCTGAGTAGGTCCAAGGCCTCTGATTCTCAGAGGCTCCGTTTGCCCCACGCCTTACAGCCCTCCACCTGAGAACACAGCACACAGACTCTTCAATAAAGAGACTTTTGCTCATCTTATATGCATTCTGTTGTCTGATGAGTAAAGAGATGATTTACTTTTTAAATATTGAGTTTATCAAAAAGCTGTTTTACCCTACAGTTGATGGTATAAGATTTTTTTTCTTTTGTAGGATGGCACATTGAACCCGGGGCCTTGCACATGCCAGGCAAGTACTCTGCCACTGAGATATATCCTTGGCCATTTTTTTCAACTTTGAGACAGGGTTTTGCTAATTGGCTCAGGCTGGGCTTGAACATGCAATCCTTGTGTCCCAGCCTCCCAAAAAGCTGAGGATGCATCTCAGTGTTCCCTGGGTTCCATCCATAGTGCCACTTAAAAAATGTTTTTGAATTATGTATTTTGGGTATGATACTGCATACATGATTATCCTGTCCTCCTCAGGATATGAATTTGAAGGCAAATCATGTTTTTTTCCTTGCAGCTGATAATAATTTAGATGCCTATTTTAGATTCTATTTCCCTTCAGACTCCTACACACACACACACACACACACACACACACACACACACACACACACATACACACACACAGCATTTATTGATGATTTCTACTTGAATCTGTTGTCACAGATGGGAATGAGAATTTGAAAGGTATGGGCCAATTGGTTTGTAAAATGCCTCATTTTGGGTTTTCTTATGTTTCCTGATTTGATTCAGATTATGCATTTTGGGCAAGATGGCTTTATAGGTGATGTGTTCTTTTCAGAGGATTGTACCAGGAGATACATAATATCAATTTTTAGAATTAATTAAACCCTAAAATTTATAATAGGATTCAGCAGTCCACATCCAGAAGTTTCCACAGTGTCCTCTGAATTTTCATCTAGAACTTGAAGAATAAATTATATGATTCCTATATCTACCTGGGCAGATATCCTTAAAAAAAAAAAATCTAGTCAGCTGTAGAGATGGTAACACACCTGTAATTCCAGCCATTTGGGGACTGAGGCAGAAGGATCACAAATTTGAGATCAGCTGAGGGTAAATTAGAGAAACTCTGTCTCAAAATAGAATTTTAGCTGGGCATGGTGGCACATGCCTATAATCCCAGGACTCTGGGAGGATGAGGCAGGAAGAACCTAAGTTGGAGTCCAGCTGGGCAGCTTAGCAACCTAACAAGACCCTGTCTCAGAAAATAATTTTTGGGGGGCCGGGGATTTAGCTCAGTTGTCTCACTGCCTGCTGCGCAAGCACAAGGACCTGAGTTCAATCCCTGGTACCAAAAAAAAAATTAATTTTTTTGCTGGGGATTTAGCTCAGTGGTTCCACCGCCTGCCCCAAAAGCAAAAGGACCTGAGTTCGATCCCTGTACCAATAAATAAATAAATAAATAAATAATAAATAATATTTTAAAAATTTAATTTATTTTTTTTTTTGAGATAGGGTCTTGCTATGTAGTTCAGGATGGCTTTGAACTCACCTTGTAGCACAGCTGGCCTTGAACTTGCAGCGGTCCTCCTACCCCAGCCTCCTGAGTACTGGGATTACAGGCATGCACCACTATGCCTGGCAAAAAATAATTTTATAAAGAGCTGAGGGGGCCAGGGATTTACCTCAGTGGTTCCGTCGCCTGCCTTGCAAGCACAAGAACCTGAGTTTGATCCCTGGTACCAAAAAATAAATAAAAATAAAAAGGGCTAAAAGAAAAATAAAATGGCTGAGGATGTAGTTCGGAGTTAGAGCATGTCCCTGGCATGTGTGAGGCCCTGGGTTCAGTCCCTAGTACCACGTACACGCTCGTGCATGGCAGCACAACATACAATCTATTTGTAAACAAATAGTATAACTAGTATAATGTTAGGTTTCTTTTTTTTTTGGTACCGGGGACTGAACTTGGGTCCTTGTGCTTGCTAGGCAGGCAGCAAAACCACTGAGCTAAATCCCTGGCCCAAGGTTTCTATTTTTAATTAATTATTTTCTTGAGACATTGTGGCTATGTTGCATAACTTTTCTAGAGTCATTTCCTTTTAAAGGTTATCCAACAAATGTAAATTCCAGAGGGAGGACCAGGAATATTTGTTTTGTTTACTCAGGCTTTCTTCAGTTTTTGACATTTTTTTCCTATGTTTTCAAAGAAACCATCAGAATTATTTGAACTTCAAGAAGATGAAACACTACGAAGGTAAGGTTTTCCTGTACTTACATTAGCCTTTACCTTGATGCTCAGTAGAAATCTTATCAATAAACCTCTGGGGTTGAATTTTTCTTTTTCAAATTGTACTGGGGATTGAACCTAGGTCTTCACTCATGTGAGGCAAGTGCTCTACCACTGAGCCAAACCCTCAGCCCCACAGCTTGCATTTTACAAGACCTGCTGGATATGATTTGAGTCACAGTTGGTGAGAATTAATTCACTGAACTACAGCTATGAGTATCTCCAGTGGGAAAAATCAGAGACAGCCAGAATTTCTGCGCCCTCAGTGAGCGCCTGGGAATGTTAGAGCTCCTTGAATGCCTTTATTAAGAGTTCACCTCTGGCTGGGGATTTAGCTCAGTGGTTCCGCCGCCTGCCTTGCAAGCTCAAGGACCCAAGTTCGATTCCTGGTACCAAAAAAAAAAAAAAAGAGTTCACCTCACACAGACTGAGACTAAGAAATGAGCCTTGCTTTTATCACATGTTCTAATTCTGATCACTCATGGTTGCTGTCTTGAGCAGACTATATTTGAGCCCAAATCAGAAAGAATGTAGTAATCCGTTAATGTTGCTGGGCATGGGCATGGGAGAGGGCATGGTAGCAGGCATGCCAGCTTCTTCCCATTCTTGACCAAGACCAGAAGTAGGCCAAGTCGCCTGTGAGGTGCACACCCTGCCTCAGGCCTGGAGATCTGATCATGAGAAAAGACTTGCGTAGACAAACCCAAGAAAATCATTTCTCCTGGTTTGGAGCACAGCTAGCCCAGCCCCCCATTCCCTGCCCTCCTCCCTGGACTCCCACTTCCTCCTTTCTTAAGTCTTTTTTTTTTTAATTAAATTTATTGGTACATTTAAGGCTTGCTTAGTCTTTTAAGGGTGGGTGCACCTTTGTCTCAGCAAGAGATAGCTCCTAGCCAGCACATTGACACCTGGATGCCAGCTGCTCTGGAAGCTGAGGTAGAAGGATGGCCAGGGGGCTGTTCGCGCCTAGGCCTTCACACTGATCAATAGCCCCAGATTTTTTTTATAATTTTGAGACAGGTTCTCTAAATCACCAAGTTGCCCAGGCTGGGCTCAAATTTGTGATCCCCATGCCTCAGCCTCCTGGTGCTGGTGTTACAGGCATGTGCTACTGTAACTGGCTGATGGCAAATTTTGAGGCCACCCTGGACTACTCAGTGAGACCTTATCTCATATTAAAATTTAATAACGAAAGAAACATGAAAGAGCGGTGCTGAGGATATAGTTTAGTGCTTCCTGAGTTCAATCCCCACTACTACAGGAAAGAGAGACAGACAGAGACAGGCAGAGAGAGATCGATTGATCCTGGTGTATCTTGGGAAACAAGGAGTCCTAAAAAGCACACTTCTTGCAAAAATCTAACTTTCTACTTTGTTCCAGCTGAAAACTCCACAGACCCCTACTCCATTCTACCTTGGTCCCTCTTCCCCTTCCTAGAGAACCTCACCAGCCCGGAGGCATAAGGTTGAAACGTGCCACTTACCAAGGTCCCGGTGCTACTAAAACAATTTCCCATGTGTAGCAGAGAGTGTCCTTTACAGCTATAGTTTGTGTCAATTTTTAAAACAGAATTTAAGGGCTGGGGATTTAGCTCAGTGGTTCCGCTGACTGCCTCGCAAGTGCAAGGTCCAGAGTTCAATCCCCAGTACCAAAAAAAAAATTAAAACAGAATTTAAGTGATCAGAAGTTGACTAGCTATTTTAGATTAGGAAGTAGAGGCCTGGCATTTGTGATGTATATTATCCTCTTTTGCTGTCAAGAACTTGAGAAAAGATCAAGGATCCTTTAAAGGCAAAAATAAGTGTCATTGGCCTGTATCCTTCTGGCCTGCATTTGGGATGTCTAATGACTTTTACTGTGGACAGAAACACTGAGGCAGGAGGATCACAGAGTTCTAGGCTACTATGGACTACATAGTGAGTTCAAGGCCAGCCCAAACTAGTGAAGAAAAAAAAAACAAGCTAAAATAAATGTAATTAAAATTGTTTTTTCCAGAGTTGTGTATCTCCTCCTGTCTCGCCCGATTGATTACAGTTCAAGAATGCTGTTTGTATTTGCAACATCAGCTACAAGTGTAAGCTCCCAGCATTTACTCAGAACCGTGTGGGCATCTCTCCTGAATGATTTTTCCGTGCATATTTACCGTGCTTGACTTTATGAACGGATGATTCTGATAATGCTTATTTAAAGTCTGTCAATACGGATCACTGCCTGCCCACGCTCCATTGAGCAATGGCCTCTGACATCTGCTTGGCAGCCTGAATGGGCCACCTGCTGACACTTCCCACAGGACAGGGTCTTGGCAAGTGCTAACTCACTGCTCAGTCAACACCCTTAATCCTGGGGACTGAGCAGACTGGCCCTGCATAGCCTGGCCTCTAGCTCTAATTACCACTAATGTCTACTCACACCACAACACTTGCCATTTTCCCTGAGGCAACACAGCCTCCTTGAGTAAAATGACCTTCGGTAAAAAGTGGCTAGATAGCTCCCTGCTCAGCCAGGTGAGTGTCTTTGCTCCCATTACTATTTCCTTCATGTGTGTTTCCCATTTCATCACAGAGTACTAATGCGTTCATTGAAATTAATTAATACTGACATGCATTCACATGTGGACTCCTCATAATATGGTAAATATCCAGGCCTGAGGTTTAATAAAATTCATTTTTCCTACTTCATCCAGAACACGCCTAAGTGACAGCCATCTTTGGTTTCCATGCTTTCCGTGAAAGCCTATAAACACGGCAGGACAGTTGGGGGTCCCAGCTGATTCTGCCGGCAGTTTCACCCACCACTGCTTTTGCACATCAGTGGCAACATCAGCACAGAGTGAAAGGCAGAAAGCATCTTAACGTTATTATCAAAATGGTTTTGACCCTGCGCCTCCTGTAAGTCTCAGGAGTGGCCCCCAAGGGTCCATAGCCCATGCGTTGAGAACCACTTTTCTTTGCTGTGCATTCCTTTAGGGTAGAAATGACTTAAATTTTCCAAAAAAAATGGTGTTGCTTTCTTACCTAAGTTGAAGCTCATTTACCAACTATAGCATGTAAGTGTGCAGCTCTTCATCCTGTTTTGGTCTTACAGACCCTGGGCATGCGTCAGTTAACTTTTGCCCACAAAACACGAGCTCTTCAATGTCTCCTCTACTTGGCTGACAAGGAAACTATAGAATCTCTCTTCAAAAAACCCACTGAAGAAGTGAAGTAAGTAGAATTTGATTAATTGTATTAAGAATGGGAAACAGATCATTTCTTTTGGAACTGTAACTTGTAAGCCCCTTAATTCATTAGACTGCCTTTGAGTAGTTATGTAACTGTACTTCCATTTCCTTGACTATCCATGGCATTTTGGCAAAGGGGAAATAGGCCTTTGAGGCAAGAGGATCACAGAGTTTGAGGCCAGTCTGGGCTCCATAGTGAGTTCAAAAGCAGCCTGAACTACATTGCAAGACCCTGTCTCAAAAAATCAAAAGAGAGAGAGAGTGATTCTTGTAAACACCTCTGTTTTTCAGATCTTACTTGAAATGTGTAACTTTTCTGGCATCATTTGAGATATTGAATATCCCTATCACCTATGAATTATTTTGCCACAGTCCTAAAGAAGGAATGATTAAGGGCCTGTGGAAAAACCACAGCCATGAGCCGATGGTAGGTAGAGTCCTCCAGGGTGGGGCTCCTAGCTTTGTAGTCAGGCTCCTGCCACCCCTTGGGTCCCTGGGAGATCGTTTATCCCAATGCAGCCCACTGCCCCGAGACCTTTGCTATTGTCCCAGTGTGGTGATGGAGTGGCCTCTCTTCCCTAAAGTCCATGGGCTAAAGTCATCCCTTCCAATAAGACAGAGCACTCCAGTGCTCCCTCCAAAGGCCTGAGTCTACCCAGCAGGGAGGGCTGGTGCTTCTCTTCTGCCTGGCTGCCTTTGGGAACCTAGCCTCTGTGGCAGTTGGAGCCCGGGGCAGGAAGGGCATGAGGACAACAGGCAAACTGTCCTTGGAGAAAAGGAAGAAAAAGAAGAGTCTCTAGGGCCAGGGATTTAGCACAGTGGTGCCGCTGCCTACCTTGCAAGTGCAAGGTCCTAAGTTCAATCCCCGGTACCAAAAAAAAAAAAGTCTATTTCTTTCATTAGGAAGATAGGGTCTTCATCAAAATGAGGCACTAGACACTTATGGATTATGTGTAAATTTTGTATTAGGCTGCCCTACCTTTTCCAGAGGTTGTTGGATTTACTGTGTCCTGGGCCAGGGATTTAGCTCAGTGGTTTTGCCGCCTGCTGCACAAGTGCAAGGACCTGAGTTTGATCCCCGGTACCAAAAAAAAAAAAAGGAGTGGATTTACTGTGTCTTGAAGCAAGATGGCGATTTTTTTTTTTTTTTTGGTACCGGGGATCAAATTCGGGTCCTTGCACTTACACAGCAGGTGGCGAAACCACTGAATTAAATCCCCAGCCCAAGATGGTGATTTTTTCTTTCTTTCTTTTTGGCTTTAGGCAGTAACATTGGTGGCTGAGCTCTGTTTAGAATACAAAATTTATGACCTGCAGCTTTGGAATGGACTCTTGCAAAAGCTTCTTGGCTTCAATATGGTGAGTGAGCCTGAGGTTCTCTTGAAGCTTGTGCTCAGCATCCCTAAGGGTTGGAAGTGATACTTGCTGCTAAATAGGTGCATCCTGAAAACATCCACTGGCACTGAGTTCCTGCCAGATCTAAGAGAACATGGTGTTAGGTCAGGGAAAGTGCAAACTCTGAGATGACCTACTCTGTGCTGGAAACAAATGGAACACTCCCTGACCTTTTCTGATATTTATGAACCTGTAAGTGAATTTGTGTGGCAGTTCTCAAGGGAGGTGATTTTAGTTTTTAAAGCAGATATACTGGGGGTTGAACCCAGTGTTGTTCTACCACTCAGCTCAATCCCCAGCCCTTTTCATTTCAAGATAACTTCACTAAGTTGCCCAGGCTGCCCTCAGATTTGCAGTCCTGCACTGGTCTTCCAAGTAGCTGGGATTACAGGGGTGCACTGCCATACCTGGAGATGAACTTTTATAAACACTCCTTTTGAAACACTTAAAAATCCAATATTTTACATTGAAACTCCATTGTGGTGGGCTTCAGAACTTATTTATTTGTTTATTTTTACAGATTCCTTACCTAAGGAAAGTTTTAACAGCCATTTCTAGTACGCACTCATTATGGCAGGTATGTAGTTTTTTAAAGTAAATTCATTGAACTTCACTTTTACACTTGGTGGCATTGTGACCCTAGATGAAGTAGTAAAGAACAAGATGCATCAGCTGCAGGATGATGTTCACATTTCACGTCCTGCAAGCCACTGCTTTCCTGAGTTCTCCAGGCCTCATGAGTCACAGCTTCGTTCCTGCTTTCCAAAACACTTGGGCTCCACTCTAACATCTGCCCCAGTATAATTCATTTTAATTATGCATTGGGCTGCCCCTCATAGACCTAGGAGATCTCTAAAGTCAGAGCCTTTGTCTTATTCATCTTCTTTCAATATTGCAAGTTGTACACTCAGGTAATCATTATACACACACACGGGTAATTTATTCCTGGTTTAATAATTTAGAACAAAAAAAAGTAAGTTAGAACAGTATAGAAATTATGCTGAGTAAATTCTCTTTTACTATTGCTCTTCATATTATCTTTCCAGAGCTAACTACTATTTACAATTTTTTGTGTATCCTTCTAGAGCTTTCCTGTCATTATACAAGCATGTAGGTATGTGTATATATGTACATTTTTGTACACATAAATGCATCACATTCTAGACAAAGTACTGTTTATGTGACCTGGGAGAGTGTTCTAGATCAGGACATACAGATCTAGTTCTTTTATTTTTTGGTTAAGGTAAAATTCACCCTATCAGATAGTTTTTAATATATTCAGAAAGTTGTGCAACTACAACCATTATCTAGTACTAGAATATTTTCCTTAGCCCTAAAAGAAACTTCATATCCATTGGCAATCATCCCCTACTCGCCCTTTCCTGGAGGCCCTAGGAGCCACTAATCTGCTTTTTCTGTAAGGATTTATCTTTTCTGGACATTTCCTATCAATGGAATATTCAGCCTTTTATGTCTGGTTTCTTTCACTTAGCATAATGCTACACAGTAGCATATATATATATTGGTGCTTCATTTCTTGTATCGCCTAATAATATTCCATTGTATAGCTACAGAGTTGACGCTTGATACTCAGGCAGGATTGGTTTTAGGATGCTACCACCACCCTGCAGATACCAAAGCCTTCTGATGTCAGGTCCTTTGTATGACATGGCATAGTATTTGCATAGAACCTGTGCATACCCCCTATACTTTAAATACCTTATACAAGTTGATGTTATGTCATTGTGATGCTATATTTTTTTTTGTTATGCTATATTGTTTAGGAAATAGTGAGCAAACAAGGCTGGTATGTATTCAGTAGGGGTAATTTGTTTTGAATGTATATTCATGGATACAGACCCTGAGGATATAGAGGGACAACTACACTACATTTTATTTATCCATTCAGCACTTGGACGTTTAGTTTGTTTCTACTCTTTGGCTTCTTGGTGGGGTTTTTTGGGTTTTAGTTCATTTCCACTCTTTGGTTTTGTTTGTTTTGTTTTTTCACTCTTTGGTGTTTATGACTAATGCTACTATGAACATTTTTGGGCAAGTTTTTATGTGGACGTGTATATTCATTGAGCATATACCCAGGAATGGGACTGTCGGCTCTCATGTATCTATGTTTAGCCTCTTAAGGTATCTCATTATTTAAATTTATTTTATTTGTTTAGGCAGTGCTGGACATTGAACCCAGGGTCTTGCACATACATGCTAGGAAAGCGCTCTGTCACTGAGCTACACCCCCAGCCCCTCTCCTCATTTTTAATTCTTAATTATTTCCCATAATATGGAGTGAAATATACCAGAAGTTATTGAACTACTCCTCTATTGGTATTCTTTTCACACTCATTTTCTTGAAATTCTCCCATCTCCTTCTCCCTGCTCTATGGCCTGGCATATAGTCTGGCCCATAATAGGCTTAGTGTGAACTTTGTTTTCTGATTTGAGCTCTGGCACTTTGTACCCAATGGAACAGTAACAAATCAATCAAGATTGTATAAAAATTCATCCGCCAGTGAGACAAGGAACGAGAGACTGAAACAACACGCAGACGCTGCTGGGGTTGCTGGTGGCTTTGGTGTGTGCTACAGGGAGCCTGGTGCTAGCTTCCCCCAGGGTTTGTGATATATGAGATAATTATCTTTTTTATTGAGACCATTGTTCAATGCTTACTTTGTTACTTATGGATGAAAACATTCTAAATAAATTTACGTACATCAAAAAAAAAAGATTGTATAAAAAGATCCTGAAATGTATAGTTCTACAGAAAATTTTCCTAGAATCTTAATCCTCTCAAACAGGGAAATACCAATTTATGATTTTGGTCTTAGGATCCAGAATATAAGCTTTAAATGTATGGTTCTGTGACTACAAAATGAAGAGTTCAGAATGAATGAAGTCTTTCATGCTCTTGTTTCCACAGGTTCCCTACTTCAGCAAAGCTTGGCAGCATGTGATACAGATACCACTCCTCTCAGGTACTTTCCTGCCCTCTGAATCTCCAGCAGTAGTGTTTTGTAGCTGAGTGACTGTGTGTATCATTGTTTTCTCTCTTCAGCCTCTTGTCCTTTAAGGCCCAGTCAGTTAACAGATTGCTGTAAGAGTCTCATCGCTGTCCTGGAGTAAGTAAAATGTTTGTTCTCCTACCTAGAAAATAAAATCTGTTGCTTATAAAATTCTTCTGGTAGACACCTCTGTGAGCACAGCAGACCAACCCCCATCTGTGATTTTGCTTCTGCCATCTCCTAAGTTGAATTGCACACCACTGTGAGTGCGTGATGAAGTCTGTGCCTTCACTGCTGGATGTCACTCGCGCCTCTGACCAGCACACCCAGGCCATCTGCATTGCCTGCCCAGCAGCCTCCCAGTTGCTCTCAGTTACCCACTCAGCTGTTGCAGGGTCACAGTGCTTGCACGAAAGGAGGTCTTGCTACACTCACTAACAGCCCCAAAGAGCAAGCGTGTGATGCTGGCAATTTTATTTCAGTATATTGTTATAACTCTGTTTTATTATTATTACTTCTGGGCTGGGTATTTAGCTCAGTGGTTTCGCCGCCTGCTGCACAAGCACAAGGACCCGAGTTCGGTCCCTGGTACCAAAAAGAAAAAAAAAAATTTTAAAAAATTTTTAAAAAACCAAAAAACAAAATATTACTGCTGATCTCTTGCTGTGCCTAATCCATAAATTAAACTTTACCAGAAGTATGTGTACAGAGAGAGGAAAACAGAGTAAATACGGGGTTTAGTGCTATCCAAGCTTCAAGTACATACTGGGGGTCTTGGAATACACCCCACTGATGAGGGGGGACCAGTGTGCTTCCTTCTTGCTGGGAAACTAAGCATCACACTTTTTTGTGGGTTTGTGATACTGGGGATGGCACCCAGGGACTTGCTCATGCCAGGCAAGCACTCCACCACAAGCTACATTCTCAGCACATCACTTTGTTTTTATAGCAAAATATTTGTTATTTTTACATTGTCTGCTTGCCATGTGTGGTGCTTTCCAGTTTCCTACTAAACTGATATTCACTGAGCGTACTCTAAACTTAGTACCTGATGTTAAGTGTAAATGTAAAGTGCCTTTTGTGACTCCCTAGCCTTGAAAATACTACAGCTTTGTTTCATAGATTTTTGAGCCTTCTAAGAATTGATCTTATGCATCTGTAGGCTTCCAGATTTAATCACAGAAGCAGAGAGTATGCTGTAGGCAGATTCTTTTATTCTAGATAGATGTCATTAAAGACCTAGGTTACTCATTACTAAGCACTCATATTTAAAATTACTGAAAGCCTGGACAAGTAAAACCTGCAGAAAGCTAGAAAGGCCACTATAATATAGTAAATCTGACAGACTATTAATGATTAACGCATTCTCTCAAAGATGTCCAGTTTCAGATGATCTCGACCTGATGGGAGTCGCCAGGCAGTACGTCCAATTAGAGCTTCCAGCTTTTGCATTAGCTTGTCTAATGCTCATGCCTCACTCAGAAAAGAGAAACCATCAAATTAAGGTATCTTGCACATTATTCCTTTGGGGTTACCAAGGAAAAAGAAGCTCTCAGACTGCACATCCCTTGCAAAAGGTTGCATTTTCTGCTCACTAAACCTGTAAAGCATGAATACATGAGTAAGGACAAGGTGGCAGGTTTAGTGGGATGTAAGATAGAGGAGACAGACAGAAGTTCCACCAAGGCATGTCTTCAAAGAGGCCTGGACATTACCTTTATCTGTGGGGAACAACTAATTTCTTGGAAGAGTAAAGTGAAAGGATGATGGCCTCTCTTGGAAGGAACAACCCATTACCCTCACAGGCTTGGTCAGAGGAGAGAGGCGGCAAGCAGGAGAAATCTCTGGAAGCTGTCACGGGCGCACAAAATGTCAGCTCACTCGATCCATACACACAGGCAGCCTGTGGAGGGATGAGTACCCGTGGAGTGGGGATGGGGAGGCACCAGGTGGGCAGCCTGACTTGCAGTTGCCGTGCGAGATAGAGGAGAATCAGATTTTATGTGTGGGTGTTTAACCAAGAAGCTGTGAGCATTCTGAGGACAGAACGTTTTTTTTTTTTAATAAGCAAGGAATATTTTATTTTATGCATATTCTCCAAAATCCCCCACAAAAACGCACCCACAAATTGGAGCAAAGAACAAAGTTTTCTAGCCTCTGGGATACACAGGGCATCATATCTTGTAGAAACATAGCTAGTATAAAAACAAAGTGTACTGGTTAACATCACCCTTCGTTTCCGGGTCAAAAAAGGCTGTAGAGAAAAACATTTTATTTGTACTCTACTACAAATGTGCTGCACAATTAAACTTCAGCTTACTCAAAGAGTTATTGTATAGGGAACTGCAGAAATATAGAGGAGGCATTCAATAATCTGTTCACAATTAACAATTAAGCAATAAACACTTGAATAAATGCACCATGTATTACTTATTTGTTAAACCTCACATTGATAATGAGCAGATGATCTCTCACTAATAGTAACTGGTTTTTTATTTTTTAGGAGATACCAGATCTAGAAATGGAAGTAGAAAGTACTTTAAAGGAAGTTGATTTTAAAATATTATATATATATTTTTTTATTTATTTTTTTGGTACCGGGGATTGAACTTGGGACCTTGTGTTTGCGAGGCAGGTGCCAGAACCACTGAGCTAAATCCCCGGCCCTATTTTTTTTAAATATTATATTTTTTTATTTAATTTTTTGGAAATTGATTTTAGAAAATACCTCCTTGGATCTGAGCTGCTATAGTACATATTACATATTTGGGTTGGGATTCAACAGTTTTAAAAACAGATATGAACAAATTGAATTGCTAAGGGAGAGAATAAAGTAATATGTTCTAAAGCAATACATTATTTTCTGCTTATATCTTGACAACAGAACTTTAAAAAATCACTCTCCTGGGCCGGGGATTTAGCTCAGTGGTTTCAGTGCCTGCCTCGCAAGCGCAAGGTCCCGAGTTCGATCCCTGGTACCAAAAAAAAAAAAATCACTCCCCTTTCCCTTAATACAAGAATGGATAGAACAAACCATTTTAAATGTTTTATAGTTATTTCTTCCACAAGTGTATGAGGAAGGACATAGAGATCTGTATAAATGAATATGCATGTTTTTTCTTTGTCATTTAGTCTATTAATTGCATTTTCTCAAAACCATCTGATATTTTTTTCCTCTTTTTATTATTCATAAACTCCTTTCTTGTTTCTTTTCAACATTTCAGTATTTAAATAGATTCCTTGGGCCGGGGATTTAGCTCAGTGGTTCCACCGCCTGCCTTGCAAGTGGAAAGTCCGGAGTTCAATCCCCGGTACCGAAAAAAAAAAAAATAGATTCCTTTTGGGACTTAGGACAACAAATGCCTGATAAACCATTTTTGCTGTTTGAATACGTAGTTGTACTTTTTTCCCTCTTATTTTAGAAATATTTGTTAATAGAATTTTTTCCTACATTAAAAATTCTTTTGACATAGTTCAGATTTTAAAATGAAAAACTTCCAGAGTTGACAGAAATTGGTAATAATAATAGTTTTTTAAATTGTGTTTTAATTTTTTTTTCTAGAATTTTCTGGGCTCATGCAATCCTGAGATCATTTTACAGCAATTAGAAGAACATATGAATTCTGGACAGTTAGCAGGATTTTCACATCAAGTAAGACAATTTCATCTCTTTTCGTTCTCTCTAAAGTGAGATTTAGCTAGACTCTCTTGCCATTTGTTAATATGTAAAAATTATTTTGCTTTTATTAAAATTTCAGTAGATTTTTTTTAAAAGGCAGGGATCCTGGCCATCTCGTTTACTGCTCTGCTCAGTGGAAATTTTATATCCTTATATGCTTGTAATTTGGGGGGTTTTTGTTTGTTGGGTTTTGTTGTTGTTTCCTTTTGTTTTGGATTTTGGTGGGTTTTTTGTTTTTGTTTTTGTTTTTTGGTACTGAGGATCGAACTCGGGACCTTGTGCTTTCGAGGCAGGCGCTGGAACCACTGAGCTAAATCCCCGGCCCCCTTGTTTTGGATTTTTGAGACAGGATCTCGCTGTGTAGTTCAGGCTGGTCTTGAACTCACTATGTAGCCCAGGCTGGCTTTGAACTCGCAGCAATCTTCCTGCCTCAGCCTTCTGAGTGCTAGGATCACAGCCATGCACTACCGCACCTGGCAAATGCTTGTAACTACAAGCAGATCTTCTTCCTCATAAAAAGTTCCAATAATCATAACTAAGTCGCTTTCCACTTCCTTACTATGTGCTACACTGGGCCAAAGCCTTTCCCTCCAGACAGGAAGCTCAGTGCTGATGCAGTGATAATTCAACTTTTGGAATTTTGGGGATTGAGTAAAGAACTTGGAACTTGTCACATATTTAATATGATGATACCTGTCATTCTATAGATTAGAAGTCTGATTCTGAATAATATCATAAAAAAGAAGGAATTTGGAATTTTGGCAAAGACAAAATACTTTCAAGTGCTGAAATTGCACATGATAAATACCAACAACATAACTGAACTAGTCAACTATCTGGCAAGTGACTTAAGGTAAGTTAATTTGAAAAAAAAACCTCACTATAAAATATATCTTTAAAATATATCTTTATTTGGAGAAAACTATCAAACAATTGTAGGGCTATGTGGTTGTAATTAAAAGTTCAAGCCAGGGATTAAGCTCAGTAGCACTGCCACCTGCCTCGTAAGCGCAAGGTCCTGAGTTTGATCCCCAGTACCAAAAAAAAAAGTTCAAAGTGCGAAGCTACTGCACGTTCCCAGAAACTAACCGTCCTATATCCTGAAAGTGTGGAGCTTCAGCTTGGAGTCAGACAGTTAAGCAGGCTGTGTGAATCCCCGCCTGGTGTCTCATGATCCGCCCCAGTCCCTGAGTCACAACTGTATTCCTTAGAGCCTGCTTGGCACTTCGAGCTTCCATGACACATAATCTCTGCAGAGCTCGCTGAGCTAATTTTCCAGCCCCCACAAGTATAGAAACAATAAGGTTCTAGGGATGGAGCCGGGGCAGGTGTAGAACATGAAAAGGAGCAGGGAACAGCGGGCTGACACTGCAGAGAGCCCGAGTTCAGTCAGGAGGACACACTGAGAGCTCTGTCTCTGGTCCCACATCAGGGCTGACTGTGCTGGTCGCATGAGAGGCTTCCATTTCTTGTCACCGCCCCGTGGGTTTCTTCCTGCTTGTTTTCCTTCTGATCAGCCATCACTGCACATTTTTGTTTGTGGATAAGTATTATTTTTTGAAGTATAACTGAAACTTTTGATAAGCTGCGCACATATTGGAAATACATGGTTTGATGCGTTTTAACATCTGTGTACCCTGTGAAGCCAGCACTGCAGGAAAGAGAGCAAACATCTGACGCTCCAGCAGCATCTTCATGCTCCCTTTCCTTTCTGCCTCCACAGCATAGATGAAGCGTTGGCCTTGATCAGCGAGTATTCAAAGCACTCCGGGAAGCTTGTGCCACCAGATGCAGCCCCTGGTGAAATCCTGAAGGTAAAGCTGGCTGCCAGGTTCTTGGGTTCTAACCTGACTCTGTAATATTTCTACAGTCTTGAAATTGAACCAACCTTTTCTTATGGTCTGGAGAGAAATCTGTCTTTGTGTGCATGTAGACAGTCATGCATTGCTTAGGGCCACATTCTGAGAAATCTGTCATATAAATGTCCTAGAGCCTGTTCACACCATTTACACAAACCTGCATGGTATAGGTCAGTCATTCAGTGTGAAGTCCCAGCTACTCCAGAAGCTAAGGCAGGAGAATCACCAGTTTGAAGTCAGCCAGGACAACATAGGGAGACCCTGTCTCAAAATAAAAAATAAAAAGAACTGGGGCTATAGCTCAGTGGTAGAGCACCGCTGGGTTCTACTCCACCGCTATATGCATGCACGAGTGAATAGAAAAGGCAGAGACACAAGAAATACAAGACGTGCATGGCAGCTGCCAGTGTAACATGACAGACTCTTCTGTGGTGAACTTGTGTTTTTAAGTAGAAACACACTAAAATAGTGACTAGAAAGTGTGTATAATAAGACTATACACCAGTAACACATTGCCTATCAAGCACAGTCATATGTGCTGACCTTTTACACAGCTAGCAGCACAGTGGGTTTGTGTACCCAGGTGTGTGTGACACACTGTGCTAGTGACAGTACAGTGGCTGTGACGTCACTAGGACAGGGGTTTCCTAGCTCCTGATCTCCTGGGATCACTGTTATGTGCAGAAATCACCGCTCTTGGCCCTTTTCCTATTAGGGAGCCCTGGGGCAGAGGCGGGGGGTATGGCTCTGTTCTCAGCTGCCCTTTAGCCTGTGTTGCTGTAGTCCTTGGACCCAGGGCCCAGGCCCTCTCCTGTGCTTTCCAGAGTCATTGTTCCTTATAAAGTCTAGTTTCCAATATTGAAACAAGTGAGAAACTAAATTTTGAGTATTTGTTGCTTTTATTTCTTTTTGTTGTGGGTCTGTTACAGGATTCATACATGCTAAGCTACTGCTCTACCACTTATTTTGTTTGTTTGTTTGTTTGTTTTGGCCTTGAACTTGTGACCTTCCTGCCTCAGCCTTCTGAGTTCCTGGGATTACAGGCTTGCACCACTCTGCCTGGTTATTTACTTCTAATTATTTGAGAAACATATGTTCCCTGTAGAAAGAAGAGGAAATATGAAAAAGAAAAAATATATATATACTGATCTAAAATCTCACTGCCCAGACAGAGGATCACTGTTAACTTTTTTCCCCTGTACTGTAATGGGAATTAAACACAGGACCTTCACACTGAGCTATATCCCCAGCCCTTTTTGATTTTTTTTTTTTTAAATAGTGGCAGCACTAAATGCTGGTGAGCATATGGAGAAACCAAGTCATTAGTATATTTCTGGTTGAAATGTGCAATTGTATAGCTATTCTGGAAGATACTATCACAGTTTCTTTTTTTTTTTATTGGTACATTTTAGGTATACAATATAATGACATTCATCATTGGAAATTTGCACCTTTACATAATCTCTCTTGGTTCTTATTTT